ATCTAGGAAATGTTTCCACTTACCTTCCTTGCGCATGCCCGTCTTCAGGCACTTTTGGAATCGACAGTGTTGACACTGATTCCGATGGTGCATATCCACGGGACACTGCCGGTTGCCGCGACACTTGTAGATCAGTTTACGTCGAACGGAACGTTTGAAAAAACTCTTGCAACCCTCACAGGTGTGTTGACCATAGTGCTTCCCACTGCTCTTATCCCCACACACCACGCACTCAATGTTCTGCTCCCCATGGGAGGCCGAACTCGGTCTGGTGTCACTCTCCTCGTCCTCAAAGTCGTCCACACCGCTTTCGGGACTCTTATCAGACCCCAATTCTCTGCTGGTGTCTTTGTGCCCTAACTGTGCTTTTTCGGCTTCCGTCAAATATCGCTTGCTCGGACTGATAGTCTCCAAGAGGTCGGGTGCAACAACGGTTCTGGAGTCAGCGCTCGAGGGCGGAGCAGTGCTTGAAGGAAGGCTGGGGCCTTCCGTACGCTTGAGCTTCTGACGTTTCCCTTTTCCAGTTTGGTCAGTCTCTGGGTACTTTGGTTTCGAGACCCATGCTGGGTTAGCTGTGGTTGCCTTGGCACTGACTGGACTGGGTGTGCGTGTTGGTGTCCGATAGCTGTGTGCTCCTACTGAACAGTCGTCTGCCGGTTTCAACCTCAGTGTTTGGGGGAAATACTGATCGTCGGTGGGGGTACTGTACCCGAGGGTAGGGAGGCGCTCGTTGACGGTGTTGGTGCTGCTGGATTTTGAGACCGATAAGGCCTCATGATTTAGCCAAAGATGGGGAAATAGCAAGTTTGGTGGTGGCGGAGGTCGAAGCGGGATGAAAAGCGGGTTTTCCAGCGTTTGTTTTTGCATATCCTTTGGCCCAAAATGGAAGAGCAGACGCCGGTTGAAAGAGCCTTACAGATTGCGTAAGAACGATTTGAGGGATTCCTCCGTTACATCTGTCGAATTTCGGGCGTAGGCAGCTGCGGTTAGTCAGACCTCGTGT